AATGCGAGCTTTTTATGATTTAAATACATTTTTAAGGTAAATTATTAGGTTTTAAAATGCCTACTCCAGATAATGTGTTCCTAATTTACTTCAACCACCACTACTACGACAACACTTATCCACTCCTTTTCAAAAAATCACACAGTAACTCGCCAATCTCTTTCTATAAAAGAATTCCTGAAAAATATGTTCCTATATTCCAAACACCAACCACAATCTACTAAAAAAACCAAAAAAAAATCCACTAACACAAAAGTTTCATTTAGATGCTTTTTTGAGATATCTGATCTACGACGTTTTGCCTTGAATATATCTTATCGACAACGAAATATAATCTCTTAAATTTTTCGAACATTTTTTAATGTATCAGTTGTAAAAATGCCATTGAACACGAAAAAAAAATGAAGCAAAGCGTTACACACACACACACACATCTACGCACACCCCCACCCACACACACCCACACACACAAACATCACGAAACGAAATACATATGTCTTGGCGGAGATAATAATGATATTAATAACAATATATTATTATAACAATAACAATAATAAATTGGTAATAATAATAAATTGTTGATGTTCTTGCATCTGCTTAACATCAATTAAATGACACCTTAAAAAAAAAAAATCGATATTCGCAGTAATAATAATAATAATAATAATAATAATAATAATAATAATATATATATATATATATATATTTGAAAAGCATGGAAAGTACAAAAAAGGTAATTTTAATTTATTTTATGTTCTGCTAATGCTATACATTGTTGCCCTTCCACATTGTCCTCGATTTCGCTTCATTTGCCAAGGGGACCCCGTCTTCATAATCATTATCAGCATTCAGTGGCGTCGAGAGCCAGTAAGGGCCCCGGGGCAACACCTCACATGCCCCCTTTCCCCCTTCACTTGGGGCCCCCCTCACTCGACCACTCCCCAAATTAAGTCTCCTCCTAAGACCCTATTTGTCCAAACCCACATACATGAATATGATTCCATGTAATTATTTTTTTTTGCAAAGACGCCTATAAAACTATAATGTAGAGTTTGTTCTGACAACAAAAGTTTTCATCCTGGCTTGGGCTCGGGCCCTATGGAGATTTTGTTCTTACCCCGAAAATTTGTCATCTTGGTCCGCCCCTCCCCCTCCACAGTAGGCCTGGGTCATGGGGTAGCGGGGCCATGGGGCAGCGACCCCCCTGACCCCACTCTCGACGCCACTGTCAGCATGAATGGGTACGCTTTGAAAAAATCCGACGGGCGATGATCCCACCAACGCCGTGACCTTCTTCGATCCAGGGTGCAAATGTCGCTCACCACTGCTTGAAGAGGACGACGGACTTTCATCACATATAGGCCTACTTACAAGTTCAGCAAACTCGCCGAGCTACGGTATCGCACGATAAAATGCCAAAAGGTCCCTTATATTCTGGTGTATAAGCCGCACCTGTGTATAAGCCGCTGCCCTAATTAGGACGCGAAATATCACGATTTTTTTGTCACCTGTGTATTAGCCGCACCTATTTTTAAAGCTCCAAACCGTTCCCATAATTTTAATTTTTAAATTATTTTGAAACACTGACTTTATTTACAAATGTTCACATAAAGAAATTTTATCTTTTTCTATTGTAAAAGACGACAACCAACTGGAAATGCGTGTAAACTTCAGGCTACTGCAATGAAACAATGTATGGTTACTCTAGGGAAATCCCTATTTCATGCTTGACGGTCGCGCTACACTTAGTTTAATAAAATCTAAGAAAATAAATTAATACTTATTGACTATATCTATTTTAAACAATCATTCTATTATTATGGTGACTAATAACAGTCGTATTAAGCTTAATATATTGGTAATTCTAGGCCTAAGTCATTACTACTCACAGCTCATAAGCATGCACTTATCACGCACCACGTTTTATAAACAAAACAGAAGTGGAGAAATATCATACAAATTTTACGCATGCGCATATGATGAATGCCTTTCTAAAGTCAAATTCAAGTAAAATAATTATTACAACTTGAAAACTTGTGATTTTATAACATAAATTAAATTCACAAGTTTTTATTCTGAAATTATAACGGTACACAAGCAACCGGGAACCCGGAACGTCGAACAGCAGGTTTCAACAACCAGCCCACGTGTGTTTCGTTGCGACATTCGTAAAAAAAGCTGCTCACTGACCCCAGGACTAACCAAACTCGCGAAAAGTAGTTTGGTAGTTTTTGAAAGTGGTCCAACAGCAACGGCGTATTTCAAAATTGGTTATGAATGAACGCAATTATGAATGAATTATTTAGACAACCCAAACCATTGCTTGAATGTCGTAGAAATCGTAGTAGCAATCCTAGTACAGCATACACTGTAGTGAGATATATAATTATAAATACTAGGCCTAAAAAACCGGTCCTACCCTAGGCTAATTAATTGGGCTAGCATGGGCCTAACCTAGAATGGATAAGCCGCATTCCAAAATTTGGGATAGGTGGCGATGTTGTACGTCCGGTGAAAAATTTTAAAAAATTGACGCGCAGGGTTAAATCGACGCGCGCGCTGACCAGAGACAGAAAATTTATTTATTTTTTTGCCTAAACAAGAAATATTTTCTATAAAAAACGCCGCAACTTATGTAGCTTATTCAATTTGTGTATACAGCTACTTCCAAATTTATCCTATGTGTAAATTTTGTTATCGTATTTAAGCTAAGTGTTTCAATAAATAAATCTGTAACTGTTTTTTCATATAGATCAATAAAATAGTCCCATGCTTATTTATTTTTAAGGATGGCGTAATTTTTTACTGCAATATGCATAATACTGTATATGATTTAAAGATTAATTTTTAAATAAAATTGATGCTAAAATAATAACTCTGCGGCTGGGTTTGTCTGAGTTGTAATCCTATATGGTAGATTAATTAAGCTGTCAAGGCTCGACCACGTTGATAACCTTCAGGGGCTTCATCATCAGCTATTGTCAGTATTCAGTATTCAATATTTATTGGCACTCACTTTCAGATCAATGGCACCACCTTGCAAGGTGGTGCGTCAATAAGATATACATAAAATGAACAAAATGTAAAACGATCTTAAAATTAAAGAAATAAGGATTAAAATAAACCAACTTAATTAAGGTGTTAAAGTACAAAAAAAACATATATAAACATTAAGTAATAAACAATAAGCTTAACGTTGAATAATAAAAAATGTTTAAAGTATCTAATAATAATATAAGCAGTGTTATTATGGGACAGAGTAGTAATGGTACAGTTTAAGCATGGTAAAAAAAAGAAAAAAAGATACGTGGTGAAATGAATCAAAAACAGCCCCACCCCAAATATTTTACTTAACTAATAAAATTACTGAAAGAAGGTAAAAAAATAAAGTAATACAAACTAAAACATAAGCTCCCCACCCCCTCCAAAAACAATGACCAAGAAGCGAAATTCAAAATACAAATTAAAACAAAGTTCGCAACAGGAAAAAAGAACTTAACTAATATCACAAAAAGAATGAAAAACACATAATACAAATCAAATCAAAGAATCTAACATTATAATGTAGTAATGAGGATTTTGATTTTGCTCTTTTTTGCCATTCTTTATTTAGTTTTTTTATAATTTCGTCTTTGAACTTTAGTGTCCAGTCAATACTCGGTTCATATATACAGTATGTCTTTCATCTTACATTTTTTAAGTTTCTCGGACTTGATTTAACCATCTCCGTTTGTCAACCAATTTTATTGCATTAAATAATATTTTTGGCCATCTGCTATCAACCATTATCTGTAAGCGATATAGGTATTTTTCACGCGAGTACGTTACTCGCGCGAATAAGCGCCCGGGCGCTTAAAATATTTTTTTTGCACTTTTTGAGGGCCGCTTATTCAAACGGGCGCTTATTCGAACTGGGCGCTTATCAAAACAGAGTGGAAATTGAGGGGGCGCTTATGGAAATAGAAGAAAATCGAGGGGTCTTATAAGAACTTATTAAATTTAAAAGGCACAGTTTGAATGAAAAACGATTATATAAAGGACATCAGGAAACCACAAATTACGAATGGTGGTGCGGCGGAAAAGATAATCGTCCAGAGAGCATGGCTTGTCATGATAAGAATGTTGTGAGTACAGTATTACATAACAGTAGAATAGCAGATGAAATTAGTGGTGGTGGTTAGCTTGTTGGCCATCTGCCGATTGAGATTAGCAGGATGGCATGATCATTGCAGGTTTTCTTGAAAACTCAGATGAGAATGTGTGAGGTGCAAATTGTCGGAAAAGCAGTAGGACTTATAAGCTATAGAAAAATGTAAGAAGATGACAAATTAGAGAGGGGCGTTTATTCAAAATTGACTGCCATCCAAGATCACCGTAGAGTGCTTCTTTAGCAATGTTTCGAGGTGCTTTTAGGATGCTTCTTGCCATTAAATATTGCAAATTTTCAACTTTTGCCCTGGCTGTTTTACTATTACAAGACCAAATCGAACAAGCGTAGTTAATTGTGGGGATTCCAATAGACTTCTATAGTAGATCCCCGTAGTATATCCTATTGAAATCATCTTGTTCATTTATGATTGATTAAATGTATGAAATTATGCGACTGCCCTTTTTAACCACTTCATCGATGTGAGAATTGTTAGACATCGTAAGTGAGATTATCACACCTAGATATTTGTATTTTTCAGTTTTAGATATGTAACTGTTACCTAACTTCCATTTTAATGTATATTGACTCTTTGTCCGGTAATTAGAATATTAGATTTACTGTAGTAGTTGAAAAACATTTTCCATTGTTTTGAGAACTCGGTAGTTTGTAATTTGAGGTCCTTCTCATTTGTACCAATAAGGACAACATCGTCTGCCCAAAAAAGACAGTTAAATATATTGTTAAATATGTTCACACCTAAATTCCTATTTTTTAACATTTTATATAATTAATATAAATTGAAAATAAAGTTGGGGAAAGAGAACATCCCTGTTTTACGCCCTATTCAATGTTAAAAGAACTCAGTTTCAATATCACCAAACTTTCCTTTACAATTGATATTTTCATATACGTTTCGTATTATATTAAATAAATAATTTCCTTTTATCCCGATCGCTTCCAGTGCTTTCATGACACCCTCCCTCGAAACCGTGTCAAATGGCTTTCTGAAATCAAGAAAGGTCTTCTTGCCTTCAGCTTGGCGAGTGGCAATTATACTCGTTAGAGTAAAGATATAGTCTTCACATCGCCTATCTTTACGGAATTCCCCTTGCACCTCAGTTGATATATCATTATTTTCAATGAATTCTGATAAAGTTTGGGAAATTATTGTGCTATAAACTTTTGCAACACAGGAGTTCAAAGGTATACCCCTATAGTCTTCTAAGTTATGTCGGTCGCCTTTTTTGAATATGGAGTGTGTCATTGTTCCAATCATCTGGGATACATTCTAGAAAAGCGAGCCTTTTCATTTTTGAGAATTTATCTTTTCGTCTTTTCATAATTTTTAGTCATATTAAAGTTTTACATTCCTTGCTTTTTGTTTGGTAATCTTTACAAAGAATATCACATATAATTTCACCAAAAGTATATGTGATATTCTTTACAAAGAATATCACATATACTTTTGGTGAAATCTTTATTGTTTATATTTTTACAATAATGTCTGCGTGTACGACATTTTTTCAATAGCAATTTCAATTTCATTATCAAACCATGGTTTGCTATTAGGTTTGTTTTTATATCCTATAATATTTTTTAGCGGAGAATAAGATACGGGATCCATGTGTCCCATGCTTCATTAGCATTTAACTTATCAGGGTCCCAGTTATTAAATCTAGAAATGAGATCTTCTTGGAACGGTATCCAATCTTGATATTCCAACAGTAATATATAGTTTTCACGGTTTGAATATTGTGCGTCGGTCCACTGTTGGACAAATGTTTCAGGATGTCGACGCCAAATCAATCTTTTTCTCTTGCTGCGTTGCACCACTTCACTCTTACCCAATAATCGATTTATCTCTTAATTTTTTACGTTGTTTTCCCTTGTTCGTTTAGCCATCTGGGGTCTCTTACTGTTTGTATTTGTTTGTACTCCTGCTGACTACAATTTCAACCACCAGAATGAAAACCACTGAGTCAAACCGCATTTTTACCATTATTGTTAATAATAATAATAATAATAATAATAATAATAATAATAATAATAACATTATATTTAATATTATCTTATTTATTTGTATTCATTCCCCTTCCCATTAGCTTGACTAGGCCTTTCTAATACTGCCGCCAGAATGTAGCTATTTTTTATGGGTCGACACTTTGTTTACAACAAAAGGTATGCTAACCTACCTAGACATAAGTTGGCAGATTAGACAAACTAGGCTTAGCCCAACTAGGCCCTAGCCTTCAATTAAATAAATTTAACAAACACTGTTTTTGGTTCAATGTCGTAATAATTTATGTACGAAAGAGCATTCTTTAAGCCTATCGATCCATGGAGGAAAGACTACGTATCCAACTACTCAATATTGTTGGAATATAATAATATATTGCATATGTCTTTTTTTTCTCTCTCTCTCTCTCTATGTATAGGCCCAAGAATGAGATAAAATTACCTGACCTTTTCAAGAGAGGGAATACCTTGAATTTTGAAGAAAAAAGACACCTCAGAAGTCGGGAAAGCTCATTTCCGGCCATCTAGGAATTAAAATATTCCCGGGGGAGGAACCCTGGAGCCCCATCATTATTTTTTGGGTTTTTAGGAACTTTCTTCCCCCTCCCCCCCTCTTTAAAATCCTGGATCTGCTCCTGCAGTTTATAATGATGATTTTTAGCCAAATTACGATCTTAATGCTTTTACATGTATTGACTGTTAGATGGTATCTAAATTCTATTTAATAATTACGAGCTGAACAGTGTACGTTGATTGTGCTTTGATAAGCTCGATGATCTATTTATCTGCTGGGTATTCGTATTTCACTGATGAGAGGCGTGCACATGTGTTCGTCACTGGGCGACATCATCATGACTTTGCTCAAGGCGCTGTTAGTTAATTAATTACTCATTTTTATTTTTGGTTATTTTTTTTACGTTCTGCTACGATATTCATTCTTTTCGTTGTGTTCCAATAAACGTTCTAACAACGTACTAAGTCTATGGTCTACCGTACTACTTTACGTATTCGTTGACCCACGACAATAGAGCCAGTCTTATCCATGATCTGGATATTTACCCTTCTATAACTAGGACTGTAAAATATACATTTATATATGGGGATCTTAGTGGGTCTGTGGGTATTAAAATAGATAAAATACAGTAGTAAAATATATAGATCCACAACATCTTCGTACAGAGCCCCTAAAGGGACATGGTTAAAAAAATATTATACTATTTCAAAGCAACGAAAGAATATTTCGAGGGAACGAAATATCTGGAGGGAACGAAATCACTTCGAGGTACGAATAGTCCCTAATGGGACATGGTTAAAGAAAATATTAAACTATTTCGAGGCAACGAAATAATATTTCGAGGGAACGAAGTCATTTCGAGAGAACGAAATAATATATCGAAATATTTGTCGGGGAGAAACAAAAATTCTATGTATTTTCTACATATTAGTAGACTTTAAACCTTTTAATCGAAGCACGACCACACCGACTTTCGTCGGGGAAATCTGGCCAATGTCCTCGGCACCTCCCCCCCCCACACCCGTCGGGAAAATCCAGGCGCACCCCTGACGAACAGCCGACACCGAAGGCACTGTGGGCGTACCATACACGAAATATTATTTCGAGGGAACGAAATAGTATTTCGAGGTGATTTCGTTCCTTCGAAATGTTATTATTTCGTTCCCTCGAAATATTATTTCGTTCCCTTGAAATAGTTTAATATTTTTCTTAACCATGTGCCTAATTTAGGGGCTCCGTATCTTCGCGCTTCTGGCACCTCGACTAATGACCCATGACCCATGGTTTGGAATCCTATGTTTTTACAGTAAACGTTGTCTATACAACGTGACTGACGATGGATCATGTATTTTGTATTCGAAATACAGCCACACCTTGATGTGAATGACACGCAATAGTCTGTTTTAATATGTCTATTGACATCGGGTGCTTTTCTTTATAATTGAAGAATTTATCATCTTTTAATCCGCCATTGGAATAGCCTACCCACGATTTAGAAGGGTAGGACATGTCCTGCGTCACTGTGTTTGATTAATATAATTATTTACTTACGTCACTGTAGGATTTCACAATAACGTCTACGGGTGTCGTGTACTTTTTGTCGTCTACCATTCCACAATTTCCGTCACAATACGAAACCGCTTGGCTAATGTATCCAGTACCTAAATCAAAACAATCATAAATATTATAAATTTTAAAAAAAACTATGTTTTTAAATAATTGCCAGCAGCCCACAAATTCAAAACTCTCGTGTTTCAGAAGGAAAACCAAGGACTTTGAACTGTACAAAGATAGTTTGCATGCTAATAATTACCATGTAAACGTATAGAACACCTTGGATAAACGTTAACGCATGGTTCGTGAAATGACTTTTATAATAGAAACGTATGTGTAACGTTAGAAATAGGCTTATGTGATGGTGGTTGAAATGTATAACGCACATTGAAACCTCAGATAAATGTTAGCACATTGTTCGCGAAACAACGGTTAAAATGCAAAAGTATATCTCAACGTTTTGTAATTTAATGGTTAAAATGTAAACCTACATCTAACATTATAAGTAAGTTTGTATGCTAATAATTAAATTGTAAACGTATAGAAAACCTTGGATAAATTGTCATATTTGGGAGGGGAATTCGCGCACTGGAACACTTTCCGAGAGATTTTGAGCGATGTCCGACCATGCCCACTTTTAGTCGGGGACATCGGGCACTACCCCCCTCCCCACCTCCCATCACCACCTGTAGGCAAATAATCATGGCGCCACTCCTAATATTACATAGATTTAAATATTTTAAATATTTGTCTGAGTCTAGCATTCTAGTAGAATGTATATATTAAACGGACCTAGGCCTAATCTAGGGGCTTATTATCTGCGAAAAATTATATAATGTTGATTTATGATTTTTGTTCGGGGTAGGCCTGTTATTACAGCTGAAAAGCAAAAATCAATTAACTTTAAAGCACTAAAACAGGCATAACTTATCTATATGCCTGCCATAGGTAATAGACCTATTCAGAACACAGCCCAGTTCCACCCTACAATACATTAGTAGCCCTACAATGAATGCTAATTTAATAAGGTGCAATGACGTTCTGTTGCCTAGTAAACGTCTGTACTGTAGCGTGGGTGGGGGTGGCTAGCCTACTGATGTACTTTGTAGCGGGGGACGATGCGGCGTGAAATGGACTATGCCTAAGCAGACAGTACAGTTATATATGTGATAGAAAGTACACTTTTGAAGAAATAAATTGGAACTAGATTTGAACTCGTCACTGAGGACGAGTTAGGTGATCCGCCGCACTTTGACCCTCATTAAGATCACGCGGTGCTGATTGAAAAGTGTCATAATATGCTAAAATT